AATACTAGATGCATATTTTAGTAAATAAAATAATATTTATATAAATATTATTATATTTATTTAACTTTTTTATTTTTATTAATTGTATGATGATAATTAAAATAATTAAAGGTGTGTAAATAATATATCTAATTTAATTATATTTTGATAATAAAATAATCTAAAATAAAGAGTTATATGGAGTAAAATGTTGAGCGAACGGTTGGAGATGAAAGTTGATTTATATTTAACTTTACTTTATAATAGAGTAAACTCTACACTAGATGAGAGATAATGACTGGAGATGACCTTAAGAATCTATTTTTATAAACCCATTTATTCTGCTAATGATTATGTAATTCGATCCTTACAAATCCACACAATCCACATTATTCAGTTTGTTAATAATTGTGTGTGTGTGTGTGCTTACTTAAACTAGTATGTGTAGTTTTTCACTAAACACTTTATCTACTAAAAAAAGAAAATTCTTTAAATGTATTTTTATTTAAAAGCATAAGTTTTATAAATATGAATAAAGTAAGGAACAATTTATTTATCTTGTTGGCGATTGGAATCGGTCAACTGTTAATAAAAGTTCATGAAGTGCTTAAATAAGTAAAGGAACAGGAAGTTACGAAGCAAATGAGGTTTATCACTTAATTACGAGGTCGGCCTTTGAAATTGAGGTCGGCACTTTTGTTGCAATTGGAATATTCACGAGAAATTATTACAGATTGAGAGGAGTAAATGTAGAGAGAGAAATGGTTGGTACAGAGATCAACAACCCTTATAAATGAAATGAGTTGACTATTTATAGTATCCTTGGTTTGATGCTTTTCGGGCACTATTCACCCTATCCCATCGTACAGTAACTTTGAGACGATAGGTCGGTGCCGCTCTGGCAAGGCATTAAATGTGATATGAGGTTTCTCCAATGATTACTTTCCGTGCATTAAATGCACACATGTGAGACATTTAATACTGACAGGTCTTCCTGCCGGGCTAGATGCGCTGGGGTGGTAGACTAGGGTGGGGCGTCTCATCGACAATCGTTAGCCGACAAGTGGCTACATTATATTATTTTCAAGTCCTGTGTTCATACGGAAGCCGGCCTTGTCGAATTTTCAGGTCCGACTCTCATTGCCACTTCATCTCCTACCCTACAGGGTTCCATCTTTCTGTCCGGCGTTCCCGGAGGTCGGCCTCGTCACCTGACCACTCAAGATGCCGACCTTCCGGGTTGCACTACTATTATCCTTGTCAACTTTGTTTCTCGATCAGCTCAGCCTTTCGGAATTATTTGGTCACCGGCCCGAGTTTAGAGATCGTCTTCGACCGGTCCATTGTCTTTGAACTGTGAATTTTATGTCGGCCCAACTCAGATATCAATGTATTTGTAGATATATAATCTACCATTTAATATACTTTTATTTATTATAAACATCTGTTACATGAATTATTTCATAAAATTAATATATTTATGGAAAGATAAGAAAATTTCTTTGGTTCAATCGGGCGATTAAAATAGGTTACTATCCAAGTTGATTAAATTACTTTTAGGGGATATTTAAAATAGTTCAATATCATGACACAACTTGGGGCAATACTTGGTCACCAGTAAGTTTGGCCAGACCTAATTGATTATTGAAACTAATTAAAAACTTTAATATTAAAAATATTTTATTACGATAAATGTAATGTAATCCAATCTCTAAGAATATTTTATGAAAATATGTTCAATGATTTATGAATATTTATATATCATTTTATTAATCTTTATATAAATTAAATGATATTACATTACAACTTTTATTAATGTATGGTAAATCATAGTGGTTGGACCAAGATTTAACTTATTAATATTAATTAATATTTATTTTATTTAAATCTATCTTTTTATTCATATTTAAAAATAATTTTAAATGTTACAAATTTTATTTGAAAATCGTACAAATCCTACCAGTTCACTAACAAACATTTTATTTTAGCGAACCGGACTGATCGATAAATCAGTTTGCAGTCCACTCGGTTCATGTCCGACTTTGAAACAATGGGTAAATCATTATTATTGTTAGTTATATATTTAAATCATAATACAATCATAATATTTTTCATCATGCATCACACGAGCCACGTACTAGTTTGATTCATGGATCTTCTAATTAAGCCCTTAAACCTGAACGAGTTTAGCATATTAATTCATACATAACCTTTGCCAAAGTTAATCACATAACAATAAGATATCCCCCTTATATATTAATTCAGAATGTGCTGAGCTTATGTGGCAGGTTCGCATGCTTCGGGATCCTATGTGGCAAAATTACATGCTACGTTATTAGGCTTGAATAGATTTAATTTACTTTTAATCTAAAAATATTTAGGTTCGGATTATCTATAAGTATGTTGATTATTTATGGTAGAGGTGGGCGCGGTCCGGGACTGTCCTGGATTTGACTTGTCTGGATACTCATCCCACTTTTATGAATCTGTTCGGGACGAGGCACCGTGCCTACCCATATAATACATTGGTGTTGTACTAGTAAGAAATTAAATTAGAATAACCCAAAAGGAAATAGTTAATCTTATGCCTAAAATTGTTGAAATTATATTGTTGATTAATTATCGCACAATAAGTTCAAGCAATTGCATTTCTGCTTCAGCATTACATAAAGTTTTGGAATGATATGTTTAATCTGATTGGAGAATGCGATGACTTGTAAATGGAAGTCGATCATTTAGAGCAATGTCTCTGCCTAACTTTAGATAAAGTGGAAAGGGGAAAATGTCTAAACAAACCGCAGTTCACAAAAAAATGATGGCACAATTTGTGAGTACTCATAATTATTTCTCTTCTCTTTTATTTTTTTTTTTAATTTTTTATTTTTGTGTGTGTGTGTGTAATGTGTTTGAGCTGCAACTTTCATAAGGTGGGGACAAGGTTTGATAGTTGCAAGGAATCCTTCTTTTTCTTATTTGTTTTTTGGCTACTAGAAATAAAAAAATGGTAGTTTTGCTTTCAAATAACTGCTAGAAAAGTAGGACCAATTAAATAGCACTTATGGCTTCTTTTTCACCTAAGAACTTAGGCATAAATAAGACTGTAAATACTAAACAGGAGATGCATCATTTTATTTCCTCCCGCATACACAATGTTTTAGAAAACAAAACCTTTTAAACTATCAATGCTTTGCCAATTAGGAAATCAAAATTTGTGACCACTATGTTTATCCATATATCAAAAACTCAATAAATAAAAACCCGCAAAACTTGTTTTCTAAATAGCATTTTTGAAAGTTTGGCTGGTCAAAACCTCTAATTTTATTGTTTGGCAAGTAATGGTTTGAAATAATAAGTTTATTGCCTCAAAAAATTCATTTTGGAAAAGCTCAATATATGTTCTTTATCAAACAACTAATTATTTACTAAACGATTCGCTCAATCAACTAATCAAATCAGATAGTCAATTGTGTTATTTCAACTAGTTATCCGCTATCAAATAATTTAATCAGCTACTAGCTATCCCTATGCTAAGTGCCAAACAAAGTCGTAAAGTGTTTGAATACATGTCTCAATTGCAGAATAAAACTTACAACCAAAAGCCTTCATTAAAAAAGAAAAAACTAAATAGTTATGAATAACCAAATCATGCGGAGACTATATAGACAATTGCCTAAGAGCATGGCATCACAGCCATCAAATAATAGCCACCTTGATGGAGAACAGGAATCTATGGTTTAAAACAAAAGGCAAATGCATCTTGTAAAAAAGGATATTAATAGCGAGCTCATAACAAATTCTTGGTTCCCTCCAAACAAGTAACATCTTTTCTTTATACCAAACTTCCCAAGTGGCTACAATTAGTGATTTCACAGTGGAAAGTGGAAGATGCATTCATGAATGGCATTTTTCTAATAGCAATAACGCCAATAATTTAGTACAAAATTAAAGTCAGTTAAAATTATTAGCGATCATACAACATTAGACTTATAAGCTAATTTGAATACATATTCAAATTAGCTTATAATACTAAATAGTTTGATACATATTTGATTATTTTCTCATAAACTTAGTCTAAATTCTATAATATTTCTTGTTATATTTGTGTCCATCATGTAGGTCATGGGTCACATTAAAAGAACTTTCTACAACTAAACATGTACGTCACCCTTTTCGAATTTTAATAGGGACTTGTTTTGAATCATTTAAAAACACCACAACTGGGATCAACATTGATGAAATGAAGTAATATCTAGCTGGAAACAACATTAATTTGTGTGCACGATCAGCATAATTTGGTCAAACAATTGCTGCTCGCATGACTGGATGCTTGGAATTGAAGAGACATTTTGTTTTGAAGTTGTGCTTCTTTTACTTTTATATTTAATTGTATAAAGTAGGGAAAAAGAATTTATACATGTACTTTTTGGCATTTGCAATCTAAAATATTTCATGAATAATCATAAGTTGCAACCTTCCGTTCATATTGAGCTTATGGCAATGCATGTATGGTTATTTCACTATTTGATGTCGAAGCTGGAAGGTCAATGGTTCTCAATTCATTCAGAGTGATTTCGATTCGGTTGTCAGAACGGTTCCGAAATTTCCTAATCCCACATATAATGAATGAGCAATCCAGAAGTTCTTGATTAGAATGTTTAATTTTAATGTTTTATGGTTTTTAGTCGAGTACAAGAATGCAAAATGTGCTACAGTAGTTCGTCTTATTCATCAACCCAAAATTTATCCAAAAACTGAACACACACACACACAGACACAGAACTACAGAAGTGATGATAAAGAATAACATTAATTTAGACAAACATGCCCCAACGCATACAAACGTCAAGACTAACACAGTAGTAGTAAATTGGAACAATAGTAGAATACTTACGAAGAAACAAACTCTCACACAGACAATAATAATTAGAAAAGTCAGCACCATTTCCCCTTTTTCTCATTTTTCTTTTTTCTCAACTTCATAAATTTCCCCCCCTCCAAATTAAAATAAATAATTTTTTTTTTTAACCAGCCACGGCCACCGGCGGCTGCTCCCCTTGCCAAGCCCACACAATCTCCTTAAGCGCCGGCCTTATATCCCTCCTCAGCAAATCCCGATACTCCACGGAGTCTCCGCCAGATTTCCTCACCTCCACAAGGTGAAACGAGGCCGTGATCTCGAAAACCCGAACATCGATCGTCAATTTCCTTTTTCGCCCCTCAAGCCTCACGTGCCCTCCTTCCTTCTTCACCACCTTCAGTCCAAGACTGCCCGCAATCTCCTCAAACCTCGACAATATAGACAGATCAGACTCGACAGACGTAAACTGAACCTCATCCTTTTGGTCACTGCTCACGAAAAGGCCCGAAAGGTCAAATCCAGACGAGAGTGAAATAATATCAAAGGCATTCAGATTCGAGGGCCTCTCGGTAATTTTACAATCCACTGAGGGAAGCTTCTCGATTTCACGTGACTTGCTGCTGCTTTTTCTTGAACCGAGACCTTTTCGAAACCAAGAGCTCTCCATAATCTTAGCCATCGAGATTCGGGTTTGCGGGTTTGGGTCGAGGATCCTAGTCAGCAAGCGGCGGGCTTCGGGTGGGAACCAGTCAGGACACTTGTACTCGCCTCTCGATATCCTTTTGTACATCTCCATGAGGTTCGAGTCGTGAAAAGGCAGATAGCCTGCAAGAAGCACAAACAGGATAACTCCGCAAGACCAAATGTCGGCTTTAGCCCCATCGTAACCTTTTCGGCTGATGACCTCAGGTGCCACGTAGGCGGGGGTCCCGCACGTCGTGTGTAAAAGCCCGTCTACCCTCCGAGACTCGGAGAGTGCGCTGAGCCCGAAATCCGAGACCTTTAAATTCCCGTTTTCGTCGAGGAGTAAATTTTCGGGCTTTAGGTCGCGGTGGTAAACCCCTCTCTCGTGACAAAAGCTTACGGCCGAAATCAGTTGCTGGAAGTATTTACGGGCGGTTTCGTCTCGGAGTTTTCCTTTCGAGACTTTTTGGAAAAGCTCTCCGCCTTTGGCGTACTCCATTACAAAGTAGATTTTGGTCTTTGTAGCGAGAACTTCTTCGAAATGGACTACGTGCTCGTGTTTGATCATGTTCATGACCGATATCTCGCGTTTGGTTTGGTCGATGAGACCGACTCGAATGACTTTTTCCTTGTCGATCACTTTAATAGCCACGTTCTGGCCAGTTTTCAGATTCCTGCCGTGGTAGACTTTGGCGAAGGTGCCTTGACCTAATAACTTCCCGATTTCGTATTTTTGCATGAGTATGTTTCCTTTTGTCTCCATCTTGGGGGAAAAAAATGAAAAAAAGAAAAGAAAAGAAAAAGAAAAGAAAAGGGCCCGCCTGTTTTTTTTTAGTAAAAAGCTGGAGCCTTTACGGGTAAAGAGCTCGAGCGTGAGAAAGGATTGTGGTTCAAGAATGGGGAGAAGGGGTTTGTTGTTTTGTGGTTGTGGATGAAGTTTTGTGCTGTCGAGTTGTGTTTTTGCCTGCCATTGTTGAAGACGAACAGGGAGACATTCGATTGAGGCACAATCTTGTGGGGTTTGAAGAGTGAGGTCTCAAGAAGGAACCGCATCTTTCCGCATTCCTGGGGGATATTGGGTGTCGAGAAAGATCGGCTGGGTTCTGGAAGAGAATACAGAAANCTCAACCCAATAAAACAGCCAACGACCGAATAAGCTGAACAACTAACTCTAGTAGGGAGGACTACACGTACAGACGGCAGCCTAGAGTCAACCTACAACACAAACACAACTAAAAAGTTCCCAAAAGGAGAATGAAACAAAATAACTCCGAACAGGAGAATACATTCAAACATATTACAGACCACAGGATTTTGAGACATTGTGAAAAAAATATGAACTCAACACATAGGTCAAATGATTTCGCAACCATTTGAGGGAGAAAAAAACAATTGCCAAAAAAAAAAATGTTATATTTGAGGTAGTGAAAGACAAGATGGTAGTTTCTGCAAACAGATAGACAAAAGGTGGAATCTTGGCAAATTTTCCAAATACAAAAAATCTACACGAAATCAATAGATTCAGATCTTTGCCTTTCTTTTCCCAATATGATTCAAATGTTCGCCTGATTTATTAAAAAACCATTCTTTCATCTTTGGAGTCCGGCCTAAAATAAACAACACAACCCAGATCATTTGAATCAACTCTGCAAACAAACAGCAACAGAACACTGCTTGGCCCGTGGAATCGAAAATCGAAATTATATAATCACACAAACATATCAATCAGGCAAGAAAAATACCATTTTTATAATATATACGCAAAACCAGGAATCGAGAATTTGAAAAATGAAAAGGAGAGAACAAAAAAAAGGCACACAAATTCAGGAATTTTAGCTCCTACAGACGTATTTGCAGCTCTAATCTCGAAATCCCTAACGTATTCACGAATCAAACACACAAACAACGACTCAGGGATAAAAAAAATCCCTCATTAAACAAACCCTCTAAAGGGACAACCGAAAACCTTCAAAAAATTGAAGAACAGATCAAAAAGACCGTACCTTGGAAAGGAGGAGCTTCGTTTTGATCCGAAGCCTAGGCAGAGCAAATGAGGAGAAAAACTTTATAGGCAAATGATTTTTGTGATGTTTGAGAGGTGTATTAATACATGTTTTGAGGGTACAAGCAATTTATGCATTAAGCGCAATCTGTGAGAATTGTGATATTTAATAGGTATTTACTTCCTTTTGTACCGTTGTGAGATTGAGAGGCTCGCTGTCTTTGGGGGTTAATTGGGTTGAATTTCCTACGTGTGCGCGTTGCACCGGATAACAGCTTTAGTGGGAGCCACTCGCGTTTTGACACATCAGAACAAATCGAAAAAATCAAGCTGAAAAGAATTATAACATGTGATAATAACTAAAGTTTATTGTAATTGGTTAAAAGCTATATATAAATAAATTGAGTGAATAGTTAATTATGTCGAAAATATTGTAATAAGGATTGATTTTATATTTTTAAATTGTGTTCATAAAATTGAGGAGAAAAAATAGGAACTGAGGAGCACGATTAGTTATAATTATCATTTTTTTTGTAAAGAAAAATTAGCTCAAACAATAAAAGTAGTGAAACATAGTTTTGGGTGGAAAAAAGGAAGTTTGTAAATATGTATGAGGTATAATGTAATACTAAAGTTGATTTGATATAAAAATAGTAAACTAATAGTTGTTAATGATTGATAACTAATACTATGTGAATAGATAAACAATTAAATTTTATTGCAAAATGTATATTAAATATTTTGTTTAATTTTTTTAATTGTAATGATAAGAATGAGAAAAAAAATAGAAATATATGAAAAGTAACTTTTTTGGGAAAATACTACATCTTGGGATATTTTATTGAAAAAATATTCAATAAAATAAATATATATATATATATATATAATTTGTATGCATGAGATTTTTTCTTAAATTCATATCGCTCAAATTATAAATTTCAGGAGATAAGAGGACATACAAAATTTATGAGTACATTGACTATGACTGTGAATTTTTATTTTTTTATTTTTTTATTTATTTTTTATTTTTGGGTACAATTATGACTGTGAAGTTGAATGCTCACCAGACATTTTTCCTTAAACTGTTTTTTAAGATAATAACAATATAACAGATCAGATTTGCGTGTGCTAACAAGGACTTATCGAGACACATCGGTATAACGTGTCTAATCATGACACCCAGTAGAATCTCAAAATATCAACTTCAAGATGTGCATAAAAGATATTTAAAATTGCATTATTATTAATTTATTATAGACCACACAATTTGAAACAATAATTTCCTGGGCCATGCAAGTCACGCCGATTTATTTTGAAAATAAGCATAAGCATATGGCATATTCATAAGTCTGCCTCTCCACTTGCATCAAATAATATTTATAAGTTATCATTAGCAGATATATATATTTTTTTTAGTTTTAACTTTTTTTGTCCTTCAATAAAGTTTGTATTATCTAATTATTTTGCACGAGTTTCTATTTACGTAAATATAATCGTCGCCGAAATTGGATGCACTTGCAAACAATTCTTTATTAAATTTAAATCATTTGATTAGTAGAAGTTGCTAATAATTGTGTGCTCAATCTTGTTTTTTCCCCTTTCACTGTAGTCAATATCTTATGACGACGTGAAGTTCACAGCCACTAAATTTTCTTTGTAATTATATAATTAAACAAAATATATCACATGAAACAAGAAATTGTTGAAGATTAACCCCTCGGCTTTTTTAATCAGTCTGAGCAATTTCACAGTGAAAAAACCCGTTATCATGATCTTCGGAAATAAACATCCATATTAATGAAACAATACTCTCATCNCTACATATATATTACAAAAATAAATACAACGGGCAGTAACTAAGTCGAGTCTCAATTTAAAAAAAAAAATATCGTACAACATAAATGTGATAAGATTGAATCTTACATTCCTTGTTTTCCAGGGAAAATTTCATGAGTCATGGATTATATCAAGTGCCTATGGAACACGGTCGAATCTTCCGGTCCCGTATCACTGACTACTCCATTTTTTACCACTGTTTTAGTTACCGAAATTATATATGTATATATAATTTAATAAATGAAGAGACATATTTTTTTTTAANTGTAACTTATTCAATTTCATTCTAACCAACTTTGACTACTAATTGATTGTATTTGGTTTGTTAAAGTGAAGTAATTTGAATAAAGTTGATTGAGTAAATGATTTTGAATTTACGATTAAATAATATTTAAAATTTAATGATTCAAATTAATTTGATGTAGAAATAAAAGAGAAGTTATTAAAATTGATAGGTAGTTCAAATCATGAGTTAATAAATAATTAAATTAATTAAAGTTGATATGAAGTGTGAAAATTTATTATTAATTATATTGGTTATATTGGGGATTTGGGGAAAGTTGAATTGAGTTAAATTTTAAAGTAAAAGATTAAAAATAAAATAACTCAATCGGTCAAACAAATTAAAATCGGTTTTATCTCACATCCAAACACGGCACTTATATATAATAAGCACCTCTCTCTTTCCTTCATAGAAAGGAACCTGATTTACAATGCTACTAATTAAGTCGTCATATTTCCTTCAACAAATATGGATACTGTTAAATTAAATTGTCATACTCTCAAAATATTGAAAAAGATCATATAGGATTGCATAGTACTTGTGCATTTTTGTTACAAATATATTATGGGTCAATTCAACTAATGATTCGTAAGTCACACACAACAAACAGTGTTTACCAAATCATTAGCAACTTGATACAATTCGCCAAATGCCAATACACATGTAAACCGCATAAGACAAAGCTATGGGACAAGTTCTAATGATAATTTGACTTTAACCTCAAATAAAACACCCTATGCCAGCTTCTGATCGACAATTTTTTAATACTTTCTAAATGACAATGTGAATTAAGTAGGTTACACAGAACTTGAGATGGGTTTGGTCCAATTTGGCGAATGAGGTTAGAGAAAGCCCTACTGGACACGACTGATAATTCACTTACAATGTTTTAATTAATATTAAATAGCAGTGGGCTGAGGTTTTATATAAGCTTTAAAATACACTGAAATCTGTAACAGTGGGCAGGGTTATCTTCCTGGAAGTGTAAAAACAATATACAATATAGGTATCTCTGTAAGGACAGATTGTAAAGCTGAAACCAAGTAACAAATCCAACAAACGAAATTCATTTTCTGTGTAATTAAGGAAAAAGAAAATGAAACAAAATTTAGTAAGCAACGGAACAAATCACACGATTGGTGTTTTAAACAAAAAAAAAAGCTCGTCTTGAAATTAATTGAATCTCTGTAAATCACACGATTGGTGTTTTCTTACTCTCCTAAGAAAATGTGTTGTCATGTATGAGGCACTCAAAAGTCTCGTACTCAATCTAAAAAACCCAGTTTTTTCAAATGCCATTAAAATGGACCTCTTTTTCATGATCAAGGGATTAAAACCAGAAAAATAATATTTTACTATCCATTAGTGTTTCAAGTACGGACCTCGTTAGCATGTACAGTTACTGTGGATTTGTCCACTTCACATTTGCAGTCATTTGAATTTCTGATGCCAAAGATTTAAGACATTGGCCTTTCCTTGTTCGTGCATGCATCTCTCTCATCAGTGACCCATCGATTGTCAAAAACTGAAATAAGTCAAAGGATTACATCTCGATATCAAAGTATACATAGATGGTGCGTGGCTCTATGAATTTATATACTGAAAAATAAGAGCAGTACATGGTTAACAATTGAGGCATTTAAAGATTTGTTATATATACAACTATTTCAAAGAAAATAAGTAACTTTGACAAGAGATAAAAGCATTGATATTTAAGTTCTATTTCTTCCAAACTCTCTTTTCGCCTTTCCACCACACTTTTCCAACTTCCAACAGTGACAGAAACATATGACACTGAAACATATCTACCAATAGTAAAAACATCCCACACGTGGAGCATAAGAGTTTACCACAGTTCAACTATTTACACATCTTAACTAATGAAGCACGAGTAAAAAAAAAAATTCAAATTTACGCATTACCAATGGCCCAATCGCACTCCAATCAGAACCAGCGGACATGCTTTGTATAAACAGCTCCCAAAACTCTTCAACACAACATTTCCTTTACTCTGAAGTAATAACTTCTTACTCTCATGTGGCTAAGAATCTGACAGTCCTTTCCATTTGCAGAAGGAATGTTTTAGCTCTCGATCACATTTTTTCCACATTTCAGAGAACTGGGATGTCAGCAACACATCTGGAGATTCAGGAGAAACCATATAACAGTGAATTATGCATAGACAAGCTCAGAGAAAGAATCAACTAGTTAGTGAAATTTAGGAAACATCACTTAATATTATTGCCAGTCATTGCAGAAAATCACATTAAACATAGAAAAACTTAATGAGGTTGTAAATTTAGCATGTGACGTTTCTTTATATGATCGCATGATCAGCTAGCAAAGCAAGCAGGTCGGGATGCAGAAAGGCAGTCATGAATAAGAACAATAAAAAATACAGCAGGCAGCTGTGAATCAAAAGAGTGTGGGTCTTAACACCTGAATCATACTAAAAAACTCTGTTAACATAAGAAACTCCAGCGTACAACAATCCCTCAGTGTTTGCCCACATAAATCACACCCTTGAGCAACATTGCTTGAAATCAAAACTAAAATAACCTAAGAACAACATATTTCATTGCTTCTTATGGTGAGTAGGTAAGGGGGGACATCACATAACAATTTACAGAAGTTTCACAGTTCTATGAAACAAAGTAATGATTAGGCTTTCAAAAAAAGAAAAAACGAAAGGAAGGGGATCATACCATATCATGACCCACTTAATCAAGTATCCCAATAAACACTTCCCAAAAACTTTGGAACTAGAATAAATAACCAGCAATCAAATTAAAAATGAGAAAATTGTAAATTTGGTCCCAAAACTTTTGTTGTTTCCCACATTTGGTCCCAGGCACGCCAATTATGGTCCTTTTTGAATTTTTGTTGTCAAAATGGTCCCACTCCGTCAAGACTTAACGGTCAACGTTTATAGCCTGGGACCAAATGTGGGAAACAGCAAAAGTTTTGGGACCAAATTTGCAATTTTCTCAAAATGAAAGTGATAAAAATTATTTAAATTTTTTTTATTAGAAACATTTTTTTAAAATTTTTTTAGTAAATGTTAAAAACGTATATTACCATTATTTCCTAACAATACATTTAATTTATTTTTTAATAAATTATAAAAAATAAATATAACTAACATACAATTCTTTCACATTTTTTTTAATTAAATTAAAGTTTAACTTGATTTTTTTACATAAAATATTTATTTAATTGGGTAACTTAACAAAAGGTGTATAACATAATTTTATTAATTTGTTCATGATAAATGAGATGCAAAAAAAAATATATATAAGCAAATGTCTATTTTCACTTAATTTAATGCCAATTTTTTTTTTATTATGCTTAAAATTGAAATTTTTTATGTAGATGTAATTTGCATAAATAAATAGATTTTTCAATTTATAGTTGTCAAAATCAAATTGATAAATATAAAATTATTAAAATAAAAATAGACAGTAATAAAAAAAATTGTTTAGATTGAGTTTTTTTTTTTTAATTCGTATTATTTAATAAAGTTTGTAAGGATATATATATATAAATTATCACATTATACTAATATTTAAAAGTGTAGACGGATTAGTATTATTGTAAGCATACTCACATTTTTTCTTATTTTGATAAATTGGATTATGTCTTTTGGTTTGCTTTATTTAATTAAAATAATATTATTTCTAAATATTCTTTAATTTAACTAATATTAAAATAATTGCTAATATTTTTTAAGTAATGACGGTAATAATATTAGAAAATAAAATAAATACCACACAATTAGCAATTATATCGTTTATTTTTCCACCCAAAATTAAAATTTATCAACGTCTTTGCTTTTCCACCCGATATTTATTTTTATAAAATTATTTTTAATATTTATTTCTCGCATAATATTCATAATAAATTAATTTTACTATGTCATTTCGGCTTTGAGTAAATGAGAAAGACTTGAAGAATTTGAAGAATTCATTTTTATTTTTTTTTTGAAAAATTGCAAAATTGGTCCAATCTAACGTCCTCACACGAGCCCCGTCAATATTGACGGACGTGGGACCATCTTGGCAACGAAAATTCAAAAAGGACTATAATTGACGTGCCTGAGACTAAATGTGGGAAACAACAAAAGTTTTGGGACCAAATTTGCAATTTTCTCAATTAAAAATGCACACTTCCATATAAGCTGACAAACATAAATATGACTGGAAGAAACTGAGCAATGATCCCAATAATTGATTTCACATGAACTTGAAAGGATATAATATCACATTACCTTCAGAATCATCAACGCCTGAAGAATCACCTCCTAGATACAACCTATTACCTTTGCATAATTTTAAGCCTTCAATATCAGCAAGCTTGTCCAGCAAGCGACCCACAAAACGATAGGCCACCATACTCGAGGCATCACAAGCTTCCTGGACCTGAAGGTACTTATTACAGGACCTGCTGTGCTGGTTGACAATATCCGTCTCCAATAGGAATTCAGAAGATACACAATTCGGGTTGGTAGAATAACTGCTCGTACCCTCTTCACTTTTAACACCATTGTGGCTGGCGTCCAGTACGTTTGACTTCTTACAGAATAGCGAACAATCAGAACTGTCTGTTTCATCCCAATCTATTTTCGGAATATGCATGGACTCCAAGGACATAGCTAACCCTTGGTCTGGAGAACAAAAGGGAGAACAGTCATCATATGCTTTGCTTGTTGGTGAAGGCGAACCACTCTTTACCAGCTTTGTCTCACCAATACTTTCAGACTTGCCATCATACGAGTCACTAGAACGAAGTTCGTAATGCCCAGGAATACCCCCAACTCGCTCGTCATCAGATATACATAGATAATTGTTTCCTGCAAAATCCTCCAAGTACGCACGAGCAAAGTCTTCATCAAATTCATGTTCTGGAATAATGTTCAACGCTACTTCTTTTGCTAGAGCACTCACTGTTAGTACGTGTTCCACTTCTTTCTGTATTACATCCCCCATAAATTCTTGAGGGGACGAAAGGCTCTTGGACGACCGTCGTTTCTTGAGGGATGGAAATTGCGATCTTGTATTAATAATGTTAACTGCTTCTACTAAAGAATCAGGGAAGCTGTCCATATCACTGCACTCAAACAGGTACTCGGTCAAGAGACCCCGTACAGCATTACGTAGACTGTCGTTAGACAACTTTAAATTAGGGTCCAACAAAACCTGCACCTTTTTCAGCTCTATCAAGCTCACTCTCTTGGGGAGATTTATCAGATGAATAGCTTTCGCTATATCATTTTGCAATGCCTCAATTTCCGGCGAGAATTTCCGGAAGTCCCGCACATCTGGGCAGTTCTTAAGTAGCTTTAGCGTCAAACCTGCAACTCCCAGTGCCCCAGCCAATTCTTCTGCAGGCTCATCCACATCACGAAGGTCTGATAGAAACTTCATGCACATGTGCTTCAGTGTCCTACATAACTCCTTAGTACTCTGTCCAGATCTCGGGGGGTGGAGAGTGGGAACGTAACTCTTGACGCCATTCAGCTTCCTACGCATGGCAAGTCGAGCTCTCCAGTGGAAGTTCGTGAGCCTGTCTAGGACATCAATTGCGGCAGCACGATAGGCTTCAGATGCAGTCGAGCACACCAACTGACCCCCCTTGAAATTTTTTGGGTCTTGCAAAAGTAGAGAAATTTGCTTCAGTTTTGTTTTGGAAATATTGTTTCTATTGGCAGTGAGCTTTGGAAGCAACTCTTTTATTGTCCTCTTCATGCTCAAATTTGTTTTCTCAAAATTTATCATTCCCCCAGTGAGTACCTCAATTAGAGAGCACAAGCCTTTATTAGACATATCATCAAGCAGGGAGCATATTTTTTGAAGACATTCGCGTTGATTAAATACTTGCACATCCTCTTGGGTATGTTGTCTTTCCGTCCCACAGCTATGAGCTTCAAATCCCATCTCGATCACAGTTCTGATGTCCTCATAGCTTACCTGTGATTAAAAGAGTATATGTAAGATAAAAACCTCAATCATGCACCAATATAAGCCTTCTATGGGCCATGGCAACCAAAGTAATTCACTGATTTCTTGGCCATTTTATCAACTTCTCCATTTCCATAATACCCCAGATAGTCTATAACCAAGGAAAATCTATATGGTCTCTACTTTACAGTATTGATCAATTTAATTACAAAATTACTACACATTGAACACCGGTAAAGTTGGCACTCCAAAACGTTCCTTGAGTTTGTCATATTCTCCTTACATTCCCTTAATCAACATAACTTATTTCACCAGGCATATTCTATTAGTTCTTTCCAGTTGTTGCTGAATTTCACGACACCAGGAACAAAATTCTACATATATTCATGTACGTGTTTCTAAATTATTGCTTCATCATTCTTTCTTTAGAATTTAGTAATGCAATATAAAATCATGGTGTAAATCATGATAATAGTAAACAAAAACCATAAGACAGGGCGATATAGAGCCGCATAATACGGATACTCACGTCATCTTCCCTAATGAATGATTCCGGCAGTACCCTACAAACAAAAAAAGAGAAATCAAGATAACTTCAATCTATTTTCACTCCACACATAAAGAAGCTTCCAAGTTAATGAAGGACTATACATAAGAAGAGACGGAAGAGGAACAAATAATGAAGTAAGGCCATTTTGAAGTTTCTGTTTCATAACGAAGTTCAGCGCACAGAGAACGGCCTAAAAGCACAGAAAGTAAATAAATAAAGAAAACCAATCTCGGCATCAGTTTCTCTTACAATCCAATTTGAATAAGACAGAGATGTATCCAGGCTTTCATATGTACAACTAACTGTGACATTTGAGTGTGAGATTAGAATTGCTTCATCCTCGTCTTTTGTAACAAATTTCACATTCATTCTCATTGACTCTTCATTTAACTAAGAGTTATAAACCATGTCCGATAACATCACAACAACATAAAGCACAATATTTTAACCATACAACCAAATAAAACATAATTTTATATCCATACAGCCGATCAAACACTGCATTTTAAATTCAAGGATTATATCATTCAAGTAATTCATATTGTGCTCAAGTGAAGCATTAGTTTAACACTCAATAATTAGCCAATCTAAGTTTAATGTTCATGACAGAATGCTCAAATCATACCTAGTAACGTACAAGTACAAATAGCAATTAGAATAAGTAGTTGCTTACTTATCGTTGGGAGGGAGAATCTCCTCCATTTTCTTCAGTTCTGTTATGGACAAGGGCAAATCCATCAACCACCTGCCAAGCAATTTCGGCAACTCTTTTCGTAAGCTCATGGTATGAAATAACCAAAAAAAAAAAAAAAAAAAAAAAAACATCAACCAACAAATCAAAAGGCGAGTAAAGCTGGGTTACTGTTTTACCTGCGTTTGAGCCTAATGAGTGATTCGTGGTCCTTGATTTGAGAGGTTAGGATCTTTAAATCTCTAGTGTTCCATTCGTTTTTGAGAGCTCCTTCGAGATTGTCTACCATTGCTGTTGAAATGAAACAATTATCACCAAATCAGAAACCAAGAAGTAAACAGGTAGAGTATAGAGCTTTCTTCTCGTTCACGAGCAGTGTTCCGGGATCCCCGCTATAGCCCGCCAAATCCAGCAGTCATATAGAGCTTGCTCTTTCTCAAATTCAATAAAATAATATATTTCCTTACTATGTGTTCAGGATCGGGCAGGACGGGGAAGAGGCTATAACTTCTACAGTCGTAGAGGCGTGCCCGGCGGTGGCTGGTTACTGCTGGTGGACGCCGTCACGCCGGAGGTGGATGGCTTGTGGTGGCGGGAGTTCGAGAAAATATTTGAACTGAAAAAAAAATTATGAAAACCTGGAATGNAAAAAAAGAAAAAAAAAAAACTGATAACTCAAAGTTGCCAACTGCCAATTTCCAGAGTTAGAGAATCGGAGTTCAGACAACTCAGTGGCAGACAGATTTTCAGTCTTTTCAGCATAGTAAAAACAGTCCACGTATCACATACTCACAGTGTCAAAGTCGCATCCTACATATAACTTCAAAACAAAAACACAAAGATCAGTGTCAGACATCATTACCGGAAGCTACCGCCGCTCGCCGGATCTCTCTCTGTCTCTGTCGCCGCCTCGTAGGTCTCTCTCCGTCCTCTTTCTCGATGCCGCCTCCCGCCCGCCGGATGGAAGCTGCTCCTTGTCGCCGTCGCAGCTGCTCCTTGTGCTGTCTGTCAACCGTTTGGGTGTAGCCGCTGGGGCTTTTTCGGCAAGAATGGAGATTAGGTTTTGGCCCGTTTGGAGAATGGAGAATTGGACCGTTTATTCTCAAAAGTATAGTCGTCACTGGACTTGTGATTTTGTAAACCGCGGGGACAGAAAACTTTTTAAGTAGGCAAGCTAGCCCACGGATCGGCCCAGCCTGCACAAGCCCTGCTGAAACCTTCGACCCGCGCGGACTAGCCGTTTAATGCCCGCTAAAGATGGAAGCCCAAACCACTAAAAATGCGGTGGGAGTGGGCCGGCCAGCGTGCCAAAGCCCTTTGTGACAACCCACCCTTTCTTTGGATTAGCCATTAATAAATTTTGTGTTCTGATGATTTTTTATGGTTGAAGTGTATATAATATGGTTGAATACATTTATAAATTAAAGTCATTTGTACGGTAATAAATTTTATTTTTGAAACTTAAAATTTTTCCAAAAAATAAAAAAAATTAAATAAATTTTCTTCCAATTTAACATAAGTAAATACTTATAAAAAAATATATCTATTTAAATGATCCTTATTAAAAACACTTCAAATTTACCATAATGAATTGAAATCTACTGTAGTTTAGCTTGGTACACTAGTTTTTCTGAATATTTTGTCTCACAAACGTTTATCCGAAAAATAAAATTTTGACATTTTAAATATTTTCTTCCGTCTAGTATAACATGAAAAATCCTGAAAATCAGGCAGTATAACTATTCTTTCGTAGTAAGTTTTTTATTTTTGATTTTTAAGTATTACTGTAAAATAATTGGTAGGACTTCAACAATAGAAAATTGTTATTACAGACAACGTAATACAAATTTAATTCATAAATTTATTCAACCATGTTATACACAGTTCATCAATAAAAAAAAAATTATGACACAAAGTATCATAAAAATATGAATTTATTATAAATTTATTCAACCATTTTATAAATCCATTTACTGCTATATTATCCGTTCAAATAATATAAATTAAAACTACCTCACTACTTCTGCTTACATTACATGTAGCAAAACACATATTTTAAGAATATAAATTAGTGGTATATTTGAAAAAAATATAGAGTATACTGTTGAAGTAAAAAAACTTCAAACAAATTACTGGTATATCTTTGAAAATATTAAGTATATTGTTAACTCAAGAAATTGTAGCCCATCCCGCAGCTGTTTCACATTGCTAGTCAAAACAAGCAATGTCTCAAACAATTCAAACAATTATTATATCCACTGCAAAATTTTAAATGGATAGAATTGCTGCAATTTGCAAACTACAATACTACACGTCAATTACAGTTTCTTCCTCAAGAAAATACAAGGCAATTGCACACCAATAGAATATACTACATGTTATTGTATTTTTTGAGAGTAAATTGTAAGATGTGACTTAATTACAAAAAGATTTACAAGAAGTGATACAGCAAGTCCCAATTCAGAATATGGTGTCAGTAGTCAACTTCCTTCTCGGGGGAGTTCTCTCTTCAATTTGCTTTTGCGGGTCCATGAAATTCGAGCCTTTGTGCGCAAACAGTCTTCTTAGATTGATCACTGAAAGCTCGTTAAAACTCGCGACTGCTAAGTCAGCCTGCCTAAGAACATACCTGCATTTCAAACCGAGCATCAGCATTTATTTTGGACCGAAAATGAAACACGTGAGTTGTTTGTCCAGGAGATATTTGAAATTTTTAAGGTATGTTGATGTCCTTTTCTGTAATTAGATCGAATCTAAAGATTAGTTTCTTTAATCATCCCTCATTTATATTTTAAACCGAATCCACAATTCAAGAAAAAATTAGTTGAAAAATAACCTGACAGCATATCTTAAGAACTCGCTGGGGAATTTATTTTTTAGCACCCATTATACTGTGAAAAATAATAGCATAAGTGAATCATTCTACATTTGCCACAAGTGCTCCTTACCC